GCCAAATCTGGCCCAACCCTTGTTTTTGGACAGCCTGTGAGCTAAGAATGGTTTTCATGTTTTTAAATGGTTGGGAAAAAAAATCAAAGGAAGAATGATACTTTGTGACACGTGAAAATTATACAAAATTCAAATGTCAGTGTTGATTAATAGAGTTTTACTGGAACACATCCACGCTCCTCTGTTCCGGTGTTACCTACGGCTACTTTTGTACTATGATGGCAGGGTTGAGCAGTTACGGCAAAGACCCTATGGCCCACGAAGCTAAAATATTTCCTTTCTGGACCTTTACAGAAAAAGCTTACTGACTCCTGGTCTAAATAATAATACAGCACACCGTAACGTTTTAAATATTGTTTAAACCGTATCTATTACTTTAGTTTCTAACTCAAGGACACCGAACCAAAGAATCATGGCATCTCTCTTGCTATGGAGAGGTTAGAATTTAACCTGACATGCTTCCACATTCTCAGAACAAAGTCAGAATCTTTTCTCCTTGGATAACCTCTACTGTCCCTCCTGACAGCAGCAACACCTTTCTGCGGAAACAGCAACAAACTGAGAAGCTGGTGGTTTCTCTAAGAGGCTATGAGTCTCTTTCTGCCAAAAGACATCTTTCCCTCTGATGGATGGGACAGTGGGGCTAGGCCTTCCTTATGAGCGCATACAGTGTACTACAGAGCTTTACTGCCACCGAAATGGATCCTCCAGACTCCATCAACTGATTCGGGGTGGGATGATGGAATCAGAGAGACGAGGAAGAGCGAATTGCTCTTTTTGTCATCACCGGGGACCTGAATAAAGACAAAAATGACTCAGAATGACCAGAGACAGGTGAATATTGTTTATCAAATGTTTTCAGGAGGCACTTCACATTGCAACAACATGGTACAGTGAGCACTCCATATGTTCGCTCAGGAGTAAAAGAAAGGGAACAGAATATCCTTTTTCCTAAGATCAAGTTTGGTTTGCAGTAAAGTTCAAGTTTGGTTTGCAGTAAAGTTCAAGAGAATCTGTTTTATTTAATTTTTGAGACTCGTGGATAAATTCTATTGTCTTTCTGTGTCTCAGTCTCTTTGTCTCCGTATCTACCTAATTTAACAGAAGTTTACTGATCATTTATGATGGGTGAGGCACAGGGTAAGACCTGGGATAGAAAAACAAAAAGAACAATTATGCCTCCTCATAAGGAGTTTAGGCTTTATGAGGGAAACAAGTTCTAATGATCTTCCTTGACTGTTAAGCAGCATTTGACGTAACTTGATCCTCCTTAAGATACTCCTTTCTTGGTTTCCTTATGGTCTCCTGGCTTTATTTCTCTAGTTTCTGATTCTCAGTCTCCACTGCTAACTCTTTCTTTTCTATCTAGGCTCTAAATGATCTGAGTTTAGTCCTAGGCTGGCTTTTTTTCAATTCTGTCTACCTCCCTAGGCAATCTTTTCTCCTTCTGATCTGATAAATCCAGTTACAGCAGCTCCTCTGAGCTTCAGATCTTCATATACAAGTCCACAGTGACCATCTCCACGTATTCACCACTTTCGACCTTCCCCTGCAATTCTGCTCTGCTCTTGACTCCTCCATCTCAGTAACTGCCACCTCTGCTCATGCATCTGATCGTGGCAGAAATCTCAAGTCAACCCTGACATTACCTCTCTCCTAACTCACCATTTCCATTCAATCATCCAGTTCTTTAAAATGACTTGACTGTGACCATTTCTCATCATGTGCTCTGTCCAGGCAACCACCATCTTTCATCTTTTACCCTTCCAGCTGGTCTCTCCATATCTGTTCTTGCCCTACTCTATTTTATCTTCTCATAGACATTGTTGTTCAGACCAAAAAAAAAAAAAAGTTAATAGTCTTTAAAAAAAAAACACAATGTTAGCAAAATACACGGTGTTCTTATTTTTTTTACCTAATAATGTATCATGAAGACCTTTTCACATAAGTACACCTAGAACAGCCTCTCTCTTTTTAACAGCTGCCCACTATTCAATTGTATGACTGAACCATAATTTATTTAACCACCTTTCTATTGATTGCCACATAGGCTGTTCTCAGTCCTTAACGTCTAAGAACAATGCTTCAGTGAAGATCCTAGAAGAGTCATCCTTCAATATATATGTTAGTACATATATTGGATAAATATATAGAAGAGAAATTGCTAGATCAGATTCTTTGTACATGTAAGACTTTGATAAATATTGCCAGATTGCTCTCCACAGAGGTTGTACCAACGCTCACTCCCTCTGACAGTGTAAGAAAGTGTCTGCTTCCCAGTCTGATGAACAAAGTATGTTATTAAACTTTTTGATTTTTGTCAACCTGATATGTAAAAAAAATCTCACTGTAGTTGTAATCTGCATATTTCTTGTTATGAGAAAGGATGAGCATTTTTTTTATATGCTTAAGATCCTATACAGCCTTAGCCTCACAGATCAGGAATTGAACTACTCTCTTCCCAATACGTTCATTTTCCTTCCCTCGTTGCCCTTCAGTCCATCTCATCAACCAGAATTGTCTCTGTTTCCTCTACTGCCATCCACTTCTCAACCCACTGCAACCTGGTTACTGTCCCCATTACCCCAATAAACTTCTTGCCAAACACAACTATGACTTCCTTGTTGCAAAATCTTTCTTTCCCTACCTCTTAAATGTCAGTATTTTCATAGGGTTCCATAGTTGAGTCCTCTTCTCTTTTACTCTATACCTTCTCTCTTGAGGATTTTATCTATTTCCATGGACCATCACTTACTCTGATAACTCTAGCACAGATGTCTCTTGTCTGGCAACTAACTGACATTAAACATGGTATATCAACAGCAAATTATTTCCCATTATCATTTCCCCCAAGAACTCCATGACTAGGTTATTAAAGTTCCAGTGTTAAAATCTAACATTGCAAAATCCAGCTAAGATTGGAAATTTTATGTAGTGAGTTCAATGTTATCACAGAATTTTGTAACAGGCAGGGACCTCAGAGATCCTTTAGTCCAGTACTTGCATTTAACTTTCCATGAGTAAACTGACACGGGAAGACCCATAATGGCTCCCCAAGGTCATCCAATCTATCGGAGAAGTCGGAGCAAAGTTCCTGACTTTCAATGGGCTGGTCTTTCCTCAATGCCATATACATGATTTCCAAGGGTTTTCTTTTCCATCTAAACAAATTACTTACATCAGAACCTACCTACCTATTTGCACTGTGCTTATCTTTATATTGCCTTTGTGACATCCTTGTTATAAACAGGAAGGAATTAGGAACAAAGCAGGAATGTCTTGTCCAGGCACATAGAAGAACTGGGAAAAGAGACACTTAGTACAGCCTTGTAGTCACACTCTGTTCTCTGAGTGCCACAATGCTAACCCAAGCTTATTTGTCCTCCCTGGGCCTGGATTCCAGTCAATTCTATGGCTTATTTAGTCTAAATGATCGCCCCAGCCTCAGTGCGTATTTTCTGTGCTTCATTTCAGAAATACCATACTTAAATCTACTCTCTACTTGAGTTTGTTTTAGTTCTCATGCTGAGGAATGAAGATTCTGGGGAAAAGAAATAAAGGTGATGAAAATTTTCGAGGCTTTACCATTTCAAGAATAGTTTTCTCAAATGGCAACTGGCAGTCTACTTTATTCTTCAAATTATTATGTTTTCCATGGAAATTAAATTTCATTGGAATAATTTGTTTTCATGGCAAGCACAAATTTCCTTCCAACAGGATCCGTTTGATAATATTTTACCAGCTAGTGCTACGAGACTAAATATAAACCAGTTTTGAGAAGCAGGAAGTGAACCTGACTGGTCCCATCTGAGTGTCCCTGGCAGTGACGCAGATCCAAAAATCAAATTAGGGAAACAAGACACCTGGGTTTGAGATGATGGATAGTAATCCAGAATGCTATAGCATAAGCGAGAACGCCGTTAACCAAATGCCATTCACGGTAATAACACCCTGGGCAGGTTGATTTCCACGGACACACAGAGCGATTAGAAAGCAGGATGCTTGAGTTCCCTAGCAACAGCATGTGCTTTTGAGATAGGCATTATTAGCCTTTGGGTTAATCCCTCCAGCCCCTTACTTCTGAATGTATGGTTGACATTAAAAAATGATGTTTTAGAAAGTGCTTAGAAATTTCCAGGAGCGAACAGGAAAGAAATTAAAAAAAAGTTGTCCCCCGAGAATTGCATTCAGGTGAAAGAAGTAACGTTCCTCTGTGCCCAGCCTGTCTCTATAGCCACTGCTCTCAGCTGTTTCCGAATCCCCTGGGCTAAAGGGCAAAGGAGGGGAAATTGCTGGAGGGGAAGGCAGTCTCCTCACTCAACACTGAGCAGTATGGCAACGTCTCTGAGAACCACAGCTCTGAAAGAAGGGGTGCAGGGTGGGGTGGGCAGTGTGGGGATGCTCATGGTGGGGGCCAATGGGAGGGAATATAACGGTTTTCTCTCTTTAAACCAAAGTATCCTGGTCTAAGGGGCTTGGAGGAGGGAGGTGGTGAGGGGAGAGGAGCTGTTTTTCCTATTGATTGTTTAATTGCACCAGAGGCTGTCCATCCGAGGCCAGTGGCCAAGAGCATTACCGTCGTGGCTAAAGTGAGGTTGGGCAGGCTTCCCATCCCCTTCTCTAGTTTTAAACAACACAACCCAGAAAGCGCAGCAGGCTGCGAGTCTACGGTGCGTGTCTGCTTTGGCTATTCAGCTGTACCCTACAGCGCCAGGGCTGATGGGATGCTGTTTCTCAAACCCTGAATCATTGCCTCGAGCTGTGTCCTGGGTTCGGGATGCACAACCCCGCCCTCCGTACAGCCTGGGTCAAATGCCGGCTGCATTCTAACAGCAATTTCTGCTGCGTTTGGCTGGTCATCTTTCTAAAGGCCTGGGTCCCTTTCAGCTGGGCACTGGGCTCCTTCGGTCGGGCCGGGTGCCTCTTGGCTCTCCCTGCCTCCCCACCTAGTCCTCTGCGCGCTCCCTTCCCCAGGCGACCCCCTGCGCCGCCCCACTTACCATGGGTCCACGGGGAGGGCCCAGGGTGCGGAGCCCTCCCTGCTCCCGGGCGGCTCTGGGGGAGCTCGGTGTTCGCCTCGAGCCCTGCGCTCCCGGAGAGATCGGGTTCCTCCCCTCCTCCCCTCCACTCCGGCCGCCGCCGCCGCCGCCGCCTTCTTGCATGACACAGCAGAACCGCAGCTGCTGCATCGAGTCCCAGCCGTCCGCCCAGGCAGCGCCGCGCCCGGGACGCGGGAGGGCGGGGGCGAGGCAGGGGCCAGGGCCGGGGCTCTCGGGCCCCCTCTGCACCACACACGCCTTTCCCAGCTGGGGACAAAATAAGGCTAAGGCTGGCCAGGCCGACATTTGAGGAATACTGGCGCTTGGCGGCAGAAGGGATGGGGTGAAAAAAAGGGTGTAAAGGAGACCCCAGTGGGAGCAGTCCGCTTCAGGTAAAGAAAGGTAAGAAGAGGGCCAGAAGTCAAGGGTCCGGCTGCGAAGATGAAAGAAGGCCAAAAAGCGGTAAGGGGGTAGAGTTGCTGAGAAGGGAGGTAGAGGCCCAGTTGGGAAACGGTGGGTGGGTGGCCAGAGAGGGAGGCCTGGGAGGCAGTCCTCGGGAAGCCTGAGCTAAGCACCCAGGAAGAAAAGGCGCTAAGGTAGGAGGCAAAGGCAGACTGGAGGGAAAGGGGGCAAGAATGAGGCATTAGCTAGGAAAGTAAAAAAATAGGGGGCATCTTCTGGAATTAGCAGGGAGGTAGTGGATGGGGATCTTTCACCACGGTGAGTGAAGTGGAGAGAGAGACAGAGCTTGAAGGAGAAGCCAGAAAAAGGGTGATCTGGCATCCCACTCTCCAGTTTCCTTCAAAGTGTTCCATCATTCCGCCAATCCAAACAGGGAGTTTTCCTTATAAAATGGAAAAGCATGAGCTGAAACATAAAAATAGCTATCTAGCTTAGATCTAGAGGATAAAAATCTCCATGGTCCATAAAAACTTTCTTTTAAGGCAGAGATTTGGGGTTTAAGGTGCAAGCCCATAGAGGCTGTGATTCCAGAATATTGAGAGCACTCAAAACCGATAGCATGGTTTCCACACATCACTGGACTTTATTCAAAGTGGTTAAGTCTTTCAAAGAGTTAAACGCTTCAGTTAAACGCTAGAAATTACAAAATTATTGGACCAAAATGTCATAAAATGTATATGCTTCTGTATATGTATGTACATATATATTTCCAGTGCTTAACATGTACAATATGATTAACGGAAAAACGTGTTTTTCTGATTATTTCCCACCCAACACTAGGCATTTTACAGCAGACCAGCTTCTTCTCACCATCTGAAAGAATGTGGTCAGAAAAGTAACACAAACACCACCACTTTGGTTTTCTCTGTGCCTTCCAGGTCCTATCTTCGTACCTCACTTCCTGACACAAACAAGTTTTTACTGTTGTCAGCAACAAAGCCCTAATATACCTGCGGAAGAGAAAAAACTGCATTACATTTTGCCTCCTGCAAGGATCCTCAACAGTTACCAGAGGAATGTAATTCCAGAAAGCTTTACAGCTGGTGGCGATGATAATTATGTATCAAACGCCTGATTCTATTTCTGTTATTGTTTTGTCATTTCTTTTCTACCCAAGATCTGATTGAACTTGCAGAGAGGGACGAATTCGGTTTTCCTTTTTTCCTTGGTGAAATTTAATCAGAGCCGATAGAAAACTCCTTGCTGTTGGGGAAAATAAAGTAGGAGCCACGAAATGTCATTTTAACAGCGTGGGTTCTGTGACTGTAGGGAAGGCTTTAAGGACGCTCCTTCTGCTCAGCTTCCTATGTCATGAGCAGAGGCGACACGCACGCAAAGACGCCGCAGCTCCCGGATGCTGTTGCTCCCTTATCTCGGCTGCAGCGCCAGAAGCCCCTCCGGGAGGCTGCGAGGGACTCTCGGTGGGTGGCGGTACAGCCGCCGCGGCCGCCAGTCTTCTGCTGTTGTTGCTGCTGCAGTCACGTGGGAGCCCCTTTAAGTTTCCATAGAGAGGCCTCTCCGGTGTCACATGATGGACATGATATAATGAAACAACACTGTGGAGAGGAAAGCATTAGGGGAGCCCACGGCTACAAAAACAAGTGAGTGAGAGGAGGTGGGAGGAAGAGAAACTACGCCACCTCCCCTGCGCCGAGCTGCTCGCAGCCGCCTGCGATGGGGAGTGGGCGACGCTGGGGGCAGGGACAGGGGGTCTTCGCCCCTTGCTGAGGGACCCCGCCGCCAATCGCAGAGAGGACAACTTTTAGCCGGCAGCCTCAGCGACCACTGCACCTGTCTCGAGTCTCCATCGCTCCTAGTGACAATCAAAGGGAAATCCTAGAAGACTATGCTCCACAAATCAACATGCGCATCATTTTCCCCCTGCGTCTCGCTCTGGAGGGAGGAAGGGGACCAGGACCCACGCAGCGTGCGTTCAGTCGGAAGGTAAGTCATCGGTGGTGGGGCAGCTGGCCTGGCAGGACTTCGGGTGGGAATTTTGTTCTCTGGGGAAGCTCTAGAAAGGTGAAAAGGCGTTCCTGCATCCTGGTCAGGCGGCTGGGTTGGATTGGAAACCTGAATTATTTTCATCCTGGACTCTGTTCTTTCCTCTTCGCCTGCCTCGCGCGCCCATCCTCCGGCTCCCGGGGTCCCCTCGCCTCCCCCGGCAGAGTCTGCGGTTCCTGGCGACAGTGTTCGGAGCCCGTGGAGGGAGGTAGGATTGGCTGCGCGCAGAAGCACTGCCGAGGCTCTTTCGCCATGTTTGCGTTGCTAAGAGCACTTTTTCCCCTTTTAGGTGGCTTGATGCCACATGGCTCCTAGGGAGCCGCTGCCGGGCTGAGAGCGTGTTTTTTTCAATGTCCGCATTCCAGCTAATGTTGCGCAGATAAAATTCAAACTTGAGGTAAACAGACGAGGAGGAGGAGGGAGGGAGGAGGACTGTTTCCATTTGGAGATCCCACCTCTTCGTGCCGTGGAGACCGACCTCCTGAACCTGGAGACAACTCTGTCCCGGCACCCGCGGACCCCACCTTTGTTGTCAATAAAAACAGGGGCGGGGGGCAAGCTCATCAAGGACGCAGTGGCTTGAGTCTCCGAGAGAAAGCCACTCCCTCGCACTCAGGCTTTTGGACATCTCCGTGGGGTCGCCGCGAGGGACGAGGGACGCCTGCGTGTCCCTCCGGGAGCACACCCGGGTGGGGCGAGACAGCCCGTACCCTCGGGCCACCTCGGGACTTTAAGAAGCCCGACAGGACTGTCCCCGCTCCACCCCCGGCGCGGGGTCCCCAGCTGTCTGGAGGGCAGGTGACCTAGCAGGTGTGAGGGGGCAGCTCTGGTTTTAAGTCTGTTGCGTTTGGTCCACCAGCGTGGGAAGTCTCTAAAGCGAGGGGCTGGATAGAGCAGCGTTGTCTGTTTTGGGGGCACATTAGGGAGAAAACCGGCACGTTACCCACCCCCTTCCCCTTACATATGGTCTCTGCTCGAAGTCCGGCCGGCGGGTGCGTGGGGTTGTGGGAGGGGAGGGGAGGCTCGTCATGTGGAGACAGTGGCTTCTGACAGCTTGTGGCCACCCCCCACCGTGCGGGAGCTGTGGGCTGGGTGGCTGGGAAGGGTGACGTCCGAGGCGGGTGGGGACAGGCGTGGGGTCCCTGAGGCGGGGGCTGCAGCGGTGCTTGCCGGTCTGGAGTGCTGTGTCAGGGCGGCCGCGGAAGCCGTATGGCAGATATGGATGGGGTAGTTTATCAAGTTTTGGGGATTGGTTTTCAAGTTACTTGCGCAGCGAGGGCGATGGCTCGACGAGAGGGGCGCGCAAGACCCCGGCCCGTGGCGACCCACCTCCCCCGCAGGGCCGCCGTTCTCGGAGCCTCTCCCGGGAGACCCTGTCCGGGCGGGGTCTCCGGCCAGGAGCGAGAACACGGGCGGGGCCTGGCGGTAAACAGGGTGGCGCCCTCTGCCCTCCGCCCCCGTCCTGCGGGGCGC